TTTCCCACGGATAACAGAAGCAGACACATCTCTCTACAAGACCATGCCTTGGCTGATGGGGGATTTCCCTCAGCCCCCCTCCCTGCTGAGCTTTCCAGGGCAGGTGGCCCTGGAAACTACAATCATTAACCAGCTTCTTACTTCCTCTTTTCTTCTCAGTGATTTTTATCACAGTCTCATATTTCCCTTTTCAATCCGTTTTGCCCTGAACCTTAGCAGCAGCACCTCCATTTGTGTGTGCATCTGTTGCTCTTTCTCCCCAGACATGATTTAAAGTAACTAAGCAACAATCCTCATTCTTTAGGTTGATCCTAAATACTGATTTTCTGTACTGCTTACAATGGAGAGGGACAAAGCAGCTTTCCAAATCTGCGCTCCACTTATGTCAGTGACCCGAGAGCAGGATTGTTTCTGTCCCGTTTAAGAGCCACGAAAGCTTGAGTTGCCCCCAGACTCCCCAAGGAGCAGGAAGTTCAGAAAAAGTAAAATGCATGCAAAGTTTTTCAAAAGTACTCTACTGGTTTTGGCTGTGCTAGAGTTAACTTTCTTTAGTAATAGCTCGTATGGTGCTGTGTTTCAGATTTGTGGCCAAAACAGCACTGGTAACACACTCATGTTTTAGCTATTGCTGAGCTGGGCTTGCGGAGTGTCAAGGTCTTCTCTGTTTCTCACAGCGAGCAGGCTGGGGGTGCACAAGATGCTGGGAGGGGGCACAGCCGTGACAACTGACCCCAACTGACCAAAGGGATATTCCATACCATATGATGCTGTGCTCATCAAGAGAAGCTGGGGGAAAGAAGGAGGAAGGGGGGGGATGATCGGAGCAATGGCATTGTCTTCCCAAGTCACCATTACACGTGATGAAGCCCTGCTTTCCTGGAGATGGCTGAACACCTGCGTGTCGATAGGAAGCAGTGAATGAACACCTGGCTTTGCCTTGCATGTACAGCTTTTGCTTTACTTATTAAGCTGTCTGTATCTCAACCCACGAGTTTTCACACCTTTACCCTTCTCATTCTCTGCCCCATCCCACTGCGGGGGTGAGCAAGTGGCAGAGGGGGGCTCAGCTGTCTACCAGGGCTAACCCACAACACATATTTTACCCTTCAATCTCTGCTTTCCTTCCAATTTACACTTCTACCTAACATTGCCACAGTGCACAGACTTATACACTCCTTGTATGCATCACAACTTAATCTAGACCTTGAAGCTCTCAGCTTGAGAAATATCAGCTACCTCCTGCGCTGTATCTACTACAATGTCAGCTGAGTCACTACATAACTCATACAGAAAAGCACGCAGGCCTGGCAGATGGGGATAATTCCTTCCCTAGTCAACACACCTTCAGGGTCTTCTGTTGAAAAAATCAACGTTGTTAGTAAAGTGCATGCAGTGTATTTTGGCCGCGCTTTTGTGTGCTGCAATATCTAAATATGGGGAAAACACCATTCTCCTCTGATGCCCTAATTCTGAAACTCTGACCCCATCATGCAACAGGGAAGTTCAAAACCTTTGCAGTATGTTTGGGTTCAATGCCCCACACAACCTTAATTCAGCTGCTTTATGTATATGCTCTGTGATAGATAAATATTTCTCAATCAATATTTCTCTAGGATGACTGCTTGACTCTGAACGGATGTGCAAACAGCTCTTTTGGAAACAGTCAAAAAAGCTAATTTCTAAAACTCTGAAGTGAACCCACAAGTCACAAGCACCTCGTGTACAAGGTAACTGCAGAAACTATCATTAACACAGTCTGCCCTTTGAGCAGAGCTCAAAGCTGCAATCTAGCGCTTAGTTTAATAGGAAGTCCACCTCACCTTATATTCCTAAAAGCCCAGGATATGCATTTAAGGGTAAAAAAGCACGTGTGTAAGAGGCATGAGAAGACATATAAGATGCTGTACACTACATGTGAAGAGTGGAGTGGGGATTCCTGGCCAAGAGACAACCCTGGGAGTGCCCCACTGGCATGGGTGGGAAGCTGGAGGAAGCCTGCTGCACACCCATAGAAACCCCTCTCCCTTTGGGATGGTCATGGGGACCTGCCTTCCCCGACTGCTGCCAAGCTGGTGTGAAGAAGCTGAGGATGCACAGGATGAGCTCAGGATGCACAGGCATTTCACCTTGCTCTGTAAGCCCAGCAGAGCTGACCTGCAACACCAGTCCGCAGGCTTACATGGGGCAGAGAGGATCAGGACCAACCAGGCATCCCTGGAGCTACGTTTCCCCTGTGGTGTGTGTTTATTTGAACCCCCCAGCTCCAAGCTGTGCTGCATCAAGAGAGGAGCTCCAGGAGACACCCGGGAGCCTGCAGCCATCTGGCCACCGGCCGCAGCGGAGCTCTCCCAGCAGGCCACCACACAGACAGCACATCCTGAGAGCGATGTAATTACCAACCTGGTGCGCAGAGAGCTGTTCCTCCTCGCTGTTTGACCTCCCTTTCCTCCCTTCACACACATGTGCCCTTCTGAAAGCTCCCCTCAGCATGGCTGGCCTGGCCCAAGCTCCACCAGCACCCTGCCCAGCCGCCCCAGCTAAGCAAACACTGGTGGGAGTGGGAGGCCCCGGAGCTGGAGAGGGGATGTGCCTGGGAGAAGCTCTGCACTCCTCCACCTCTGCTGGCAACCAGCAGAAGGGACAGATTAGAGCTGAATTAAGTTACCAGCATTAAACAGATATGCCTGGCCTCTTTGAAGTTCTGCTTCCCTTGAACGTGAACTCATTTGGTGAGGCCTCTTTTTGCTCAGCCCCAGGAAGCCATCAGTCTCGACAGAGTTAACTCTTCACAGGATTTCTCAGCTCTCCCTGCTGGTATCCATCAGCTCAGCGCAAGGCAGTCAGTCTGGTATGTGAGCAGAGCCCGGTATAACCACGGTTAGCACTGACCTCCTTCATGTTTCCCTGGGTCTCCCTGATTTGGGAATTCCCACCAGGAAAGGGAACCTGCCCAACTCCACCATGTGGTCCTGCAGGCTCCAGGCTGGCACACAGGGAAGCTTTATCGGAGCTGAAGGAAAGGGGGATCCCTCTGTGGTGAAGCATCCTCCAACCCTGCCAAAGGCAGCACTCTCAGGTCCTGGGAGGACTGTGCTCAATCCTCCTCCAAAGCAGGGGTGAGGAGTAAAGGAACAAGGGCGGAATTTAATTACAGATGAGGAAAGTTCCCAGTGCTCCTTTCTTTTGGTTTAATTCCACTAAGTGGAAACTGGAAAGACTGGGGCAGGAAAGGGAGGGGGTAACCACAGAGAGGAAAGTAAAATATGACAAAGACAAGGCTGATCCCAACTCCACAGCATTTTTACATGGCTCATGCAACCTCTGCCAATCCCTGCTCTTGCCCCAGTACTTGAAAAACGCAGCAAAGAGAGCAGAAATCTGCCCAAGAGCAAGCGCTGCCTCTGCCTGGGATTGGGGAGATGTGACTTTCAGGGTTCACTATTTTTGTACATAAGCGGGAACTGCAGAGTTGCTGCCGATGGAGCCAATACGAGAGGGAGAGCCTGTCACTGCTGCCTGCCAAAGGGGGAAGCAAATGCTTCTCAAGATGGCTCCAAGTTACCACGGTGTTGCCCCCATGATGGGGTGTTACTTCTGGATTCTCTGCTTGCTCCCAGCTTCAGCCCCTGGCACAGGGAGGCTGGAGAGGAACAGAGCTGCTTGTGCTGCATGCTGCGTGTCAGAGGGAGGTTCCCACTTCTCCTGGGAAGGCAGCTTCCATCTCGCTCCTGAAACCTTTCACCCCCAGTTTACTGCCAGGAAATCTCCCACCCAACACAAACATGTCTTTAGCCACTCATGCAGTACCTGAGAAGCACCTTGGAGATGCTGGGCGAGAGCCCCTGACTCCAGGGTACCACTGGAGAGGTCAGCCACTGGCTGGGAGGTCCCCAGCAGCTCTGCAGAGCCTGTAGGGCAGCAGCAGGCAGGACACAAACAAACAGCAGGAAGCAAGGGAGAGGCTGGGAACATCAAGGCCAAATGCATAAATCCAAGATAAACAGTGAGAGTGCCTTTCAGATCCCAACCATGACAGAAATCATCTCTATCCAAGGGGAGCCCGCAGCTTGGCTTGCACACAGGCCATGCGAGACGACCTAAGGCAATCCACCCCGACAACAGACTTGCAGCACAGAGGACAGAACTGGCTCACATCAAGGGACAGCAGGAAAGCACAGCCTGACGGGTTAGCACAAGCTGACCCTGGATTTTCAAGAGGAACAGTCTTATCACAAAAATGCCTTTCCTAAGTAATCCTTCAGCTCCAGTAGAGAGGTTGCTTTCCTGCTTCTCATTTCATTGACAGGCATGCGTCAGACTTGCCAGCCAGCAAATGCCAGAGGCATGTGCATGGGGACAATGACAGCTCCCCTGGTTCTAAACACAACTGCAATGCTAGCAAGCTAGAGACACATCTGAAAATCTCAACAGCCAATGCTCGGACCTTTGCAAGGCAGCAAGTTCCCCAATACCATTCCTAACCAACAATCATGGTTCTAGGAACAAGGCAAGTACAACCTCATTCAGACCTGCTTTTTCCATGTTCACAGTAGAGATCACAGCATAAGGCAGAGCAAGATAACTGTCAGAAGTACAGGCAGGTGCAGTCCTGCAACTTAGTTCTCATTATTCCCTTATATCCACAAATAGCCCAGTCCCCCTGTGAAAAAGTCCCTAGGAATATGCGTTCCAAAGACACAGGAAAGACTCCAAGGAAATTCCTGAAGAGGAGCAGACCCCAGCAATGTTGTACAGCACCACTATCCCTCCAGAGAGCCATCATCCTGCCCATCTTTATGGATGGCTGTTCCTTAGCACCTTGATGCCAGGTTGTTACACTGCTAATAGGTATGATCGTCTGTACCTTTACCACGCATGAAGCAACATAAGCAAGCCAGACAGGGCACCCAGATGTCCTTGCTACTAGCCTCTGCCTGTTTTTCTGCTCTTTGAGAGCTGAGTGGAGGAGGAAGACAGCTAAGCAACAACGTGGGCCTTACCTTTTGTCCCAGGGGGCTGCAGATTATCTCCAGTCAGCGAGCACCAGCCTACGGGAAAGATGTCCCGGGAATCATATCGGCACCAGTAATCGAAGGCACCTCTCCAGCCATCAAATGTTATGAGGACCTCAGAACCTCTCACCTCCCCAATGGTGGCCGGGCAGATGAAGTGAGGGTTCTTCCTGTCCACTGCCTCCAGCTTCATACCTGTCTTGAAGAAGTTTTGGGATGGAGATGGTGGTTCCTACAAGGAGAAGTTGAAAATGTGCTCAAAGAGGATATGCCAGTGCCTCCCCAGACCAGGGCTGTCCCCTCCATCAGCAAAATCACCTCCACAAGCAGGTGAAGAAGGGAGCTAGTGAGCTGGACTTGAACCCCAATTAGGTGTTCACACACTGGCCTACCTATGCAACCATATGCCCTTTAAGTCAAGAGGCAACAAAGTCCACTACTGACTGCTCTGCCATCACCTGGCTGCTGGACCAAATCCAGACAGTGCTGTGTTAACACTGCACCCTGTGACAACTGTCACCCAACACAGGCAGAAAATAGAGGTCCAAAGAAAAGAGCCTCTATAGGATACTCTCACCTTGTTATCTCAGAGCAGGAAAACCTGAGATATGACAGTCTCTCTCTCTCATTCTTCCCCCACCTTCAGCTTTGCTAGACATGTGAGAGATCCACCATTCATCCTTATCTGGGGCTTGCTCTTCCTAGTGTTTTATACCTGAGATACACTAAAGCCACACCAACCATCCCATACCACAGCACACGGCTCTAGACTGGCTTCTGTCTCTCTCTGACTTCACTAGGGGTGTGAGAATAGTGTTGCCTCACAGCAATATTTGCACTCCTTACAAGCTCTGGTACACTAAAAAGTTTCAGAGAGGTGCTTTCACATATTGCATTCCTGACTTTGAGTAGCACCTGCAGCCCAAGTGAAAAAACAAGCACATCTCTCAAGCCCAAGTGTTGAAGCCCAGGACACTTTCTTAGCAGACCTCTCTCTGCATCCTGACACTGCTACAACACAGCCGCAGAGGGTCTGGGTCTCTACTAGAGAAGCAGCACTCTGGCAAAGCTGGGCAATGTTCTTCATCTCTGGGATCAGCAGATCTCATGTGAGATGCCAGCTGTGATTTTGGTGCTTTGCAGTAAAGGGGACATGCCAGAAGGATGTCTTCACAAACAGTATGGTAAAATACCTTGTGAAAAATCCGGACAGGAGCCATCTCTGCTCCATTCAGAGTCTTCAGAAGGAACATGGGCCAAGAGGAGGCATTCAGCCGAAAGCCTGCAGAGAAGGAAGCAGAGATGGAGTCTTTAAGGCTGTGGGGGTAACTGGATCTGGCAGCACATGCCTGCTCTGATGGGAACTTTGCAGCAGGCACATACTGTGATCCCACACCACCCTCCTCCTCAGGCTGGACAGTCAGGTTTGACCTTTTCCAGGTACTCTGAACACAAAACATTATGTTGTTGAAAAGAAACATCTGGAAATGGATTTTTGACTCCAGTATTTGCTTATCGTAAGAAAAGTCTGTACATTGACCATACAGGCAGAGCATTTTGTGCAGCACTAGTGCTGGTGGCACTATCCTACTACAGGGGAGACATGAATCAGCAAGTGCACACTCAGGCTATAAAATTTCTTCCTCAATAGGGAATCTCAGTTTCTGGGTGGCCTCCTCCACCTTTTAGAGTGAGCTGCAGGCAAGCTAACCTGAAGAAATAAAGTGGCTGTGACTTGGCTGGGAAACAGATTTAACCATTACAGGAAAGGATAGCAGTTTTTGGCTCGACACCTTCTGTGAAAAAAAGTAGAGAAATAACAGGAAGGGGCTTATGGGAAGAAAAAAGCACATTCACATGCTGTGAGTCTATGGCACTGAGTATGACTGCACAACTGACAAAAGTCTCCAGATACCACAAAACACCATCTTTGCTGAATGTGGATCTTCCTGTACAGGCAATTTCTGCTGCTCAGCTGAACAAGGCATTGCACTTTCTCTATTTACTGTGTTTTGACGGTAATCCTGGGACTGCACCTAGATGGAAAGCATCCCATTGTCCTGGTTTCAGCTGGGATAGAGTTAATTTGCTGGCTGGGGTTAAACCACAACAGTGCATGATGATTAACATGGCAAAGTTTTGCCAGGGTTGAAATGCCAGAACACAGCCAGCTCATTACAGGCCACCCTGCCAGCCCTGCAACTCTGTCAGAGCAGCCTGGAAACCAAACAAGCTAACCACAAATCTCAGGGGATGGGAGAGCTAAGCTTCCTGAGGGGCAAAGATAATCTTTTACATTAATTATCTACGTAAAGAAGGGGAGCAGCAGTGGATGTGTACACATGGAAAATACTACAAGGAACACAGAAAATCCTTGCTGGGTCTTCCGGGCCCTTGCACTCTGCAGGCAGAAACAACAACTGCAAAACTAGCTATTTGTTACCTGTCTTTATGCTGGGTGCAACAGAACCACTCTTGTCTGGCCCACGGTTAAGCAGGCAATATAGATCAGAGCTGGGCACACAGGCTTCTTCCAGCGTATGAACCCTCTCCTTTGGCACAGTCGGAAATGAGTTTTGCTCTCAACTCGATTACACTTATTGCCATCTGCTGGCAAAACCCAGACAAGGCACAGGACGAACCCATCACTGCCAGCTAGGACAGGTACCCATGCCTGCTGGGCAGGCCGCACCAGAGCTGTGAGCTGCACCCTAGGACCAAGGTTTCAAAGAGATGTCTGCAAATGGACAGCGGCATGCATAAAAGTAATATACAAAATGGCAGCTTTAATGTTAATAGCTGCAGCAGGTTTTGTCTGTAGCAATTAGGAAGGGAAAGAGTGTAATTAGACTTGCATATACACAGCTTCGTGTGGTGTGATGTGCCAAAACATGCACCTGCTGATGTTTCTTCCTTCTTCAGAATGGTCAGTCCCAAGTGTCCCATTGCAATTTAGACTGTACTTCCACCAAAGCTCACAAATGGTGCTCCAGGAAAAAACACGAATAAAAATATTCCTAACTCAAGGTATGCTATTGAAGGTTTCTTGCATCACTATAGATCGGCTTGATATTATTTGGGGATTTGCTAATTGAGAGACAGATTTATGAAGACACTTCAAAAATAATGGGCAGCAGAATGCAAAAGCAGATTAATCTTGCTGCTTAATCAGGAAAGAACCAGCAAATCAGCTCATCATTTGGCCAGTGTCAAAAAAAAAAAAAAAAAAAAAAGGGGGTTTAACTGAAGACAAGACTGGAAGAAGTGTTCGACTGTCCAGGTTATTTATAAAGGTGTAGCCAAGCAAAATTAAATAAACAAACAGATGAAATATCGCAAACGTCCCTTCACGTGAGACAGTACTTAAATCACTGGGAACCTTTTCAGACATTATGTTTCCCCATCAGACGGTCTCCAGTGAACCTGCTATTGCCCCAAAGACACTTGGACACAAATACACTTAGACAGCATGAATGAAAATTTAAATGCTTTTGAAATCACAGTGTCAGGATTAGCAGTGATACAGCAGATGCCTCAGCCCTAATTGCCCTCTTGGTTATTCTCTACATCAAGTTTTACAGATGCCCAGCAAAGCACCTCTACCCAGACACCAGTACTGTGCTCAGCTCGAAGGGGGAGTGCAGGGGAAAGCACTGATGGATGGCAGCCATTTCATGTCAAGCACACCTTTGAGATGACAGTGCTTGCAAGCAGGATCAGAAGCCTAAAGCAATGGGCAATGGCCAGAGATTGAGCCATTGCTAGAGCTATGTGTCAGCACTGCCTGTGTGACTGTGTGGTGTCTCCCAGCAAAAAAGAACCTGGATTCATTCTGTCCTTATACAGGCAATCACCCAGCAAAGGCCATCACAGTTGTTCTGCCTTCAACACTATTGCCCACACCCTGGTCACCAGGACTTTGGGGTGGCCCTTGATTGCTTGTGTGCCCTCTGGGAAATGGAGTGGCTCTGGCATCCTTTCACACGAATGCATGGAAAATGTGTTTTCCCTTTGAGGTACACAGGGAGAATTTCAGAAGGCTTAAGAGCGTGGTCAGCATGTGCTAATCCTGAGCTTGAGCCGCAAAGAGTGCAAGCAGCTCACTTAAGTGCAAAGAGCTCTTTCATATACACTCTAAAGCATCTTCCTATCCATGCCACGGTGTCCATGTGGAAATACAGACCTGGTGTGGGATACATCTGTTTAACAGTCCAAGCTAACAGGGCTGGTCTACAACACAGTGGTAGGCAGGGGCAGTCCATGGGTCTCTGTCCCAAGAACAGAAATATAAAAAACCCTAAGGTTTTCCCCACCGATAATGTAGGCGCTTGCTGGACAGTTGAACTTCAGCTCACCCAGTGGAGGCTGCAGCATCCCTCCATTCTTCTCACAGTTTCCTATAGGCTGGATTTCAGCTGAGTCCACCAGCCGCCAGAAGTCATTCTTGTTATCGCTGCCATCAAGGCGCAGGCGGAGGCGTGCACCTGTCAGACCCACCACTGTGGCAATGCAAGTGGAGGTGGTGTTCCTGGGGTCCTGGGCTTCTAGTTTCATGCTGATCTTGAATTCATTTGCGGGTGGAGTGTATGACTGCAAAGAGAAAAACAGGGATGCAGTTAGAGCTAGGATTTCCAATATACACACCACCTCAGTCATAAAGCTTAAGCCGTAAGAGCACCAAAACTGATTCTACCGAAGACTGACAACATCCTCCAAGCACAGCATGGGAGCAGACACCACAGAGCAGCAAAGAAAGTTTGTCAAGCCCCGGCAGATCTGTAACCTAGACAATCACCTTTTGGTACTGCATCATCTAGACAACTAGACCTACATTTTCCTCTTAGCCCTCTTCCCAGGAGAATCACCCAGCCAACCTAAGACCCAAACAGATACTCCTTTCTGCTGCTGCCCCTCCATCTGGACCCAGGTGTACCATGCTGATTCACTCCTGTATCCCCTGTACTCAACATGACCACGTCTGTGCTCAAATACGTGATGCCCAGTGGGCTGCTATTCCATTCACAAAGATCAGGTGAATTCTGCAGAAAATTTCCATGCTGAGCAGGATCCACCAAAAGCTGGGTCACAGCAGAACATTTTCTCCAAGGGCCAGTGCTTGGCAGAGTAAAAACATCGTTGTGTTCCTATCCATGCACAGCTGACAGTAAAATCTTCTGTGCTACTCTAACATTTGCAGCGCCTAAATGTATCTTTTTTATTTTTGCTTCAGCACACTTGGATTTCTATTAAGTCTCCAATATCCTTAAGCATTTTCCTTGACAAGAAGGGGCCTATCCCAGGCACAGAACTCCTGGGTCACCAATGCACCATCGCCCTTGACCTTTCTTGTTTTCACCCTCTTACCTGCTTGAAGCAATGGGCAGGAGCTGGGATGGCACATGTCTCTTTCAGGTATTTCTCCCAGGTGAAGTGACCTGAGAAGAGAAAACAAAAGGATTCAAATAGGAACTGATGAGCAAAAAGCTCAGAAAAAGAGATGGCTGGACTCCTAATGCCGCCAGTTCTCAACTTCTCACAGAGGAGGTGCTCACAGGCAGTATGTTTTCATCAAGATCCTCTGATGTTTGTGACCACAGAAGATTTACAACTGCAGCTGACAGGCAGAACAAAGCATGGCGTTGCCTACGGCATCTTACTGCCTCTGCACTGCCAAGAAGGGTCTGCAAAAAGTGAAGATAACAACTTACAACTTAATAGAAAATACCTAGCACAGATGGGAATTCATGGAGTCTTCCAGAGAACTGCCTCTTAAAAATCATTTGTTAAACACATTGCTCAGTCTGGGGACTAAGAACAGTCACTGTGGGCTAAAAGCAGCCCAAATCAACAGGAAACTGCACTGTGCTGTGCATGGTCCAGCATGCACACAGCCTGCCCCACGAGCCAGCAGCTCGAAGCAGGTATCAGCCCATCCCCAGCAACTAGTGTACAGGTCAGTAATTAATTTCCTGAAGCGGACACGGGGCCCATAGCTTAGGCAGGATGGAAGCAGGGATCCTCCAAATGGGGATTTACTAAACACAACGGCTCACATCCAACACCAAAGCCCCTTCCACTGAGTGCTGCTGCTGGGGGAAGTGCATTTTATCCTTGCCTGCACCTTTCCCATGTACAGCAGGAAGGGTAAAAGCAATATGCCATCCAGGGAAACCTGTTATTAAATTAGGAATTAAAAGCTCCTGTGATCCAAGCAAATCATGACTTTTGCCATTTAAGCTGAGCAGCTGGGAAAGGATCCTTCCAGCATGACATTAGCTTGTATTCATCTGAATGGCTCCCAGGAGACCACTGTTTTCAAGTCATTTCAAGAGCATTGGTGGCAGCACAATTAAAGAGTCAGCTACCGCTTCCCCTATTCACGTCAAGTTTTAATCAGTCTATTTTCAAAACAAAAGCTACATTAAGAGCCATTTTAGCTACTGCAGTGCACACCACACCTCTAAAAATTCAGGCATTAAGGTCAGCACACGTTACTTTATTTCTGCCTCACATGCACAGAGAAGCCTTAAGGGCTTGACAATCTACCAGCTTCAAATAAATAAAAGAAATGCTGCTTTCTTGCCCTCCCATGCAGACGACTAGCATGCTGGTAAATACAGTGGAAAAGAACAGAAAAAAATAGTTTCGTTGCCACACTGGCTGAATATAATTCTGTTTACAGACTCTGACAGCAGCTCTCCATTCCTCAGAGTACGCATTTCCATCCATTGGCACGTATTTTCTTTTCAGCCAACGGTCTCACACCAGGACAAATGAAGAAATTCAGTGATTTACTGCAATGATGTTCTCACAAAAACAAATTTCTTTTGCTTTAATTGAAGATATGATTTTACACTCTGTTATGTCAATGAAACTCTTTGTATGAATAATGTGTAATAAATACCCAGGCAAAGCAAACCCAGGCACTCCTGGCATCGAAGTGCCTCATGCATCCCACCCCTTTACTCTGGTTGCTGATCTGGGCTCTTCTCAGACTGCGGTGGCCCTTCAGAGGCCCTTGTCCATGAAGCACAGAGGATGCCCATGGTAACAGCACCAGGACAAGGAGTGCAAGCCTCAGCCCCAGGGCCTGAGCAAGTATCTTGAAAAGGATCAGCTGCGCTTGACAATTTTATTTCAAAAAGGAAACCTACCCTCCCCTCAGCTGGTTTCAATCCCTCGCTATTAAAAGTAGTCATGGTTTTAATCCTTCCACTTTTCACTCACTCTGCACAAAGTGAGGCCGTTCTGCTCCCTGCAGCAGCTCACGCTGCTGTTGAGATTGACGCTGCACAATCCCAGCAGGAGCAGCAAATTTCTGAGGCAGCTGCGTGCCTCTAAAAATAGTGTTTGGACATGGAACTTATTGGAGATTAATTCTAGAGCCTGTTGAGACCCAACCACCATACAAAGACACACACAACACTACAACTGCAGCTACTTACAACTCACAGTTCTGGTGACTTATTTTGCAAAGAAAAGTAGGAGCAGCAGAAAGACTTCTCTAAACTCTAAGAAAAGACAGAGCAGATACAGCAGAGTTAAGCCTTCCTTCCTCCTCTGTTCACTGTTGGCCATTTCTTTACATAAAGATGGCATGACAAGCACAATTAAAGACTGCACTTCTTTTTCAGGATTACTCTCAAACCAGGACAGAAACTGCATATTGAAATTGGAGGCTGCCACCATTGCCTTAGCGTGAGAAGAAGCCTTGCACAGAATGTAGGGAATAGTTTTAAATGAATTATTAGTTAATTAGTTCACAATACAATGTTTTTCAAGCAGGAATTTCAAAGTACACTTAAACTTAACCAAATACGATCAGCTTCAACCTAAGAACTGCTGGAAGAATCAGAAGAAAATGGCATAACACAGAAGTTCGGGTTTTCTTTTTACAACAAAGGGAGAGCTGCCAATAAAACAGAAAAAAGCAGCAGGCGCTTAAGGCTTTTTTAATTGGGGAGCAGAGAACAAGCCCTGAGCTCTGTACTTGAGAAAGAGCGCATATACTTGAAGATGGACACATCACACTTGGCCCTCTCAACCTTAACTCCTCTGGACCATACCCAAATCCTGCTCGCCATACTAATTCCCACTCAATTCCAACAGTCAGCTCCAAACGGATCTATTCTGGACCCTCCATGCCAGGCATGCTGTTGGCCAGGACACCAAAGCTGCTGGCTGATGCCATTTTACAGGCGCCCTGTGTATGGAGGTTATAAGACCAGAGGGAAACATTGAGAATATCTTGCTTGGCTTTCTCATTAGCACAGACCAACTATCTTGTATTTTATATTCTCTCAATATTCTTATTCATATTAATAAATTGGATGCCTTACTGTAGAGGGATAGGACATTTCAGTCAGCAAGATGATTGTTTCTTATCTGGCCTGGGCAGGTAACACTGGAGAATGTTTTCTGAGTGTTGGTCAAAAAACCCTGGTGACTTTTCTCCACTTGCCAGTGAATTACTTCGCTTCACGAAAAAACAGCACTTCAGCCAGTCCTAAAGTGTCCCTTTTACTAGTAATGGAGCAGGAGTGTCCAAGGACAGAGCTGACTATAGGGACTGAAATCCTCTCTCGCCCTGAAAAGCAAAGGAGAACACTTGCTCCGCTGCTGCTGCTGGCTTCCAGTACAATATGCAAAATGTCCTACCAGCCCTAAAATCACCGTCTCTTGCCTGGTCTCTGCCTTCCCTTTCATGTTCTCTCCCCCACCTTGCAAAGCACACCATATTCCCACAGACTTGGAAGGATCACTGTTTGAATGGACTGGGTTCCTCTGTATAACAGACATCAGATCTTTACAGGAAGAAACGAGAGAACAACACTTAATGAGAAACACCACAGTTTTGTAATTACATCTGTGAGCTAAACAAAAGCCAAGGATTGTAAACCTATATGACTCCCTGTAACTCGGCTGTGAAAATGCCTACTAAGGGTGACTGTCTATCACTTTTGCTTGCCTTTGCAAAGCTCCTTACTGTGCGCTTGTGCCAAAGGGAGATATTACTTGCAGGCAGAGTGTCAGATTTGGACTCTGATGTCTTAACCTTCAAAAATATTTACTACAAACAAAACACTCCACATACTCAAGGGGTCAAACTACAGTAGTTGTGAACAATGCAACTCTGCACTCTTGTGTTTGGATTCTCATCATGTTGCATTTAACGTTGATCTTTTGCCCAGAATTTAAATGAAGATGGAGTTTCTGTTTATATCTTTAACTGAAGTCTGGTTTGGGCTCCATTAGCATTTCGGCTCCCAAGGGGTCATCAATCCAACTGAAACGATACATGTGCGTTTCAGGTCACATCTGTGAAGGAGAACGTGCCCTACGCAGATCAAGGCATCCCATTAAAGTCTGCAGCCCATATGTGTGTCTGCTAACGAGCATCAAGGCAGCACATGAAAGCAGCACAGTTTGAGCCAACTCAGTATGAAAATTAGCAGAGTATTGTCTCTGCTCGCAGATCCAAAGGCGACGGCGGCGTTCCACTACGTCTGGCTGCAGCTTCTCAAGAGGTCAGCTCTCCCACCATGATGGCAGAGCTCCTGCATGTCCTACCTGTTATAATTTCCAGGCACTTTGCTCAGCCATCAAACCAGCTGCACATTCTCCACTGGTAACAGCTACAACCGATAACATGATCCCACTTACTCACTGTCTTGCTCAGAAGAAACTCGAGAATGTGTGGGCCAAAACTAATAGGTTTCAAACACCAGGATGCTGTCTGTTTTGCTTCTTCTCAGTTGTGTCCCAATTCAGTATTAACTTTGAGCAGAAATCCTTTCAGCCCGGATTACAGGGTGCTCCGTGCCAGAAAGGTGCTGCAGCTTCACCCCCCTCACTGTGTACCCAAGCTTCGGGCAGTGATGAGCTGCTCAGAGTTTCTTGCAGGGAGACAATCCCTGAACCTCGCTGCTACACCATGTGCTTGTCAAGCAGACACATGTACATCGGCCTATCTGCAGCATTTCCTCCCTAGACCAGCAAGCTTTGCGATGAAGTGAGGCGCGGAGGTTGGTGTACTGGGTTACCATGAGTGCTGATGGGAAAGCACGCCTCTGAATTTCACAGAAAGCTCCATTTCAGGTTGGCATTGCCATTGAACAACAGCCAGTCCTCTGACATCTGCAAACAGTGCAGCGCATGGAGCAGAGGGGAAACTGCAATGGAGCCCCCAACACCCCAAAGGCTGGCTATACACAGGCCATGTGAGCTGTGACGGTGCCCCATAATATCATGTGGAACTCAGCACAGGGTGACAGAGTACCCAGGACTTTATCAGAGGTGCTAATAAACTTCCTCCTCTTGGAGAAGGTCCTTCCCAAACTGTGATGCGTATTAGTTCAGTGTAAGGGCAGGCAAGGACAGACAAGATGGCCCAAGAGAGAACGGTGAGGGCTGATGGTGGCCCACAGTGCAACATGCCCGAGAACCACCAGCCTGAGCCTCACCTCAGGGCCCAGGATAACCAAGCCCTTGAGGCACAGCAGCCACCTCAACTCTCCCAGGGGCTCTAAGACAGGAGAGTCTTTCACAAAGGCAAACACATTTCCTGTTAGAGATGGCTTAACTCAGGCAATCGTTTAGTTTATTGTTGCTCTGTACTTGGTGGGAAGTACAGACATCACCTTCTTAATATAAGGACATGGAGAATATAAGGACATCACCTTCTTATATTCTGTAAGTAAAATACAGGTCCTAAAATCTTTTACTAAATTATACAAGCCTTACATAAACCTCCTAAAGTCAGAAGTCACCTGCATATCCCCCCTGAGAGATAGCAGGAGCTACCAGTTTTATGAACTCAACCCGCAGGCATTGTGCACAGGGCCACAGCCCACCCTGCCTGTGCACAGGACATCTCATCTCCAAAGAGAGCAAGAAGTGACCAATTCCTGTGCTGCTACTGCCAGCCTTCACCCAGCGCTCCACTGAGCCAGCCAGCATCGCCTCTGTTGGGGTAAGGGCCAAATTCCTGCCACTGGGGAAGAAGGAGTGCAGGTCACACCATGTCTCTGCTACAGCAACAATGACTGGGCTAGCCGCTGCTGTGAACATGGAAGAGGACCTCGTGGTGGAGTAAGAGGCTCCTTATGCCCAGCACACATGTGAAAATGTGGGCAGAGTCGCTCCTTGGCACTCATGGCTGGGCAGTAAAAAACATCTGCTCAATCCTGTCTGATTTAAAAATGAGCTGGCTCAGCTGTGTGCTTACCCTGGTGTCTTCTCAGCCATTTTTGACTGTGGTCAGAATTAAATACACGAGGACTGTCCAAAAGCAGTTTTTATCTGTAAACTAATTTGGCATGCTGCAGTTTCCCACATCGGGAGAAAGGAGGGAGCTCTCTTACCTTGGTACTGGGAGGGAGACTCTGACGGGCGGCCATACTTGTGCTTTTTACCATCTTTCCAGTCTATGGCTGAGACAAGAAATAAAGCATTTGTGTCAGTGAAAGAAGCCAGCTAATGTGCTCTTCAACATTATCTGCTCATGTCACTTGCTTTACAGGCACTTCAGAGGAGAGGAGTGACCACCCTGTCCTCCCTGTCATGACCCCAGGTAACATGGATGATTTACCTAAATCTGTGGGGTGTGCTCCCTTCCTCCACACAGCTCAAGAGAAGACCTGACATGAGGTATCTGCATTTGCATCTTAGTCTCTGCCTAGTCCTCACCAACTGGTGTTCTTCCACAATGGCAAGCAATAATGTAAAAAGCAGCAAACTGCTAGAGCTTCATAATTTTAACTATGTGAAGAGGTGGCGAGGCTTGAGAGGAACAAATGTGAAAGCCACTAAAAACGGCTCATGTGGAACATCTATGCCGAGAATTGGAGCCTGAATTGCTCCTTGTTTATGAACTCTAGGTTACTGCAGCTAGCCTTACTCACACAGCCTCAACCCTCTCTGGTGATGGGGAGAGGACTTCTCTGAAAGTCTGCACAACTGCCCTTTCCACATGCAACACTGGATTACCACCACCTGTCCTGCACAGCTCACAGGAGAGCACAGCAAAGTAGCACTAGCTCTGAAGAGCATCTCATCTGAGTTATCTTTGTTCACGACAGCTTTGGACCTCAGAGCAACAAAAAGATAAAGTTCCCGAGACAGCTCTGGAAAAAAATGACAGAGCAAGAAGCAGGGGAAGCCCATCCCTGCTTCTAGCAGCCTCCAGCTCAACGGAGGGATGCCAGATCAGCGTGCCACAGCAGAGCTTTCCCTGAGCAAGCTCCTCCACCTGCTGCTGCCTGACTGATGCACCCTGGGAGCGCTGCTGCAGTCAAGCTCATTTTACAAAGCATTTTTAGGGCTATTATAAACAACAATTTGGTAGTGCTCTACAAAACGTACCTTGCCCCCACGAAAAGCAGCTCCTTGTGAAAGGAAGAAAAAAGAAAACAGGAAAAGTTTTGAAATCTCCTGAGAAGTAGCTGAAAGAGGCAGGCCGTGAGCTACTGCTAGAGTGGCCTGGTGGGTCTTAAGATGTCTGAAATTGCTTTTGGATCATTATTTTTGCAATCTTCTCTTCTTGACATTCTTTTCAATACAATGGACAGGAGGATGGCATGTAGGTTTTATCCCTTAAATGAACGCGAGGGACATATGGAGCATTGCCACAGCATCCAGACGTGGACCAGACAAAGAGCCTCCTTGGAGAGGCACAAATGAATGAAAAGGATGGAAGGACACCTTTCCTATGAATGTATTCCTATGAAGGACAGTGTTCTGCCAGCTCCTTAAGAAACCAAGAATAAAGGACACAAAGTATTTAAGTCGGAAGCAAAAATGCCCCCCAGGATGGGTAATGCTCCTCTCAAGTGTTGCAGGATAGCTCTCTAATAGCATCTGTGCACGAAAAATAGCCCTTCGCCATACTCTGCAGGTGAAGTTACATTTTACTCTTAACCTTTAACATGCAAAAATCCTCATTAAGCATGCTGCAAAAGCAGCAGAGAGGGAAAGAAACAAGAATTTCTGCAGGCAAATAAAGAAAAAGGAAAAGTTCCATGCATTATTAAAAAAAACAGGTAAGTAGGACAGAAACCCATGTGTGTACGGTGCAGATGTTGCTTCTGCAACCTATGGCACGGTATTCACAGCACAGGTCACACAGCTACGCTGGCTGGAGGCACCCTGCTCTACGAGGCAGAGAGGACAAGCTGTGTGCAAGGCTAAATTCAGCCAGCCCGGTCCATGGCCACACTGCTGACTAATCAACCTGCCTCTTTTATTATCAAGCCCTCCAGCTGCCTCACAGCAGGCTCTCCCCATTCCCTGCTTTCCTTCATTTATTTTCACTTCATTAAAGGACACGCAGTGTTAGGAAGAGGATAATGCTTCTGTAAGATGAACCACCAGAGAAGCAAAGGAGACGTTTAAAAAAAATAAAGGAAGGAGAGAAATTGAGCATAGAAATCTCCTGCAATAAACCTTGTGAGCGTGTAGCAGATGCGAACAAAGAACTGCAGAGGATGCTCCATCCTCTACGCTTCTCCCTTCCCCCATCCTCTGAAGCACATGTGATGAGATCACTCCAGTCAAACACACATGCATGGCACAACACTAAAGGAAATCAATATTTTTGTTAAGCACACGAAGTCTAAGCAGCCCAGCTACAGGCAGCCTGCTTGACTTCACCCTTTTTGTTGGGGCAAGCAGGACACAGGTAGCATGTGTGCGGCCACCCTGAGCTCTGCAGCTGCCACTGTGTGTAACAGGACGAGATGCTCGGGTGGCGAGAGGTAAGCGTCCGTAACAGATTTCATCTCCACAAGGTAGGCTGGTCTTTGGTTTCACGCCTCATTAGAAGGGGGAGGCTTGTGCCAGCGGAGAAGCAGTTTGCCTCACGCTGGGAGCACTAGCAGATGGTGCATGCTGCAGGCTCCGCAGAGCACCCTCACCGCCTGACACTGTGCCCCACAAGCTGCAGGGGTGCACCTGGCAAGGGACTCTTCCTCCGCCCATCTCGGGGGTGGATTGATGAAGTGTTCTCTGCATGCTGCCGGAGAAACAAGCGGCTCCGTTTCGAGCTTGCAAGCACATGTCCCCCAAGCTCCCACGCCATCGCTGGCCTCCCGATGTGCTCAGTCGTTCGGTCCATGCCAGCTCGCTACCAGGCCTTTGGCTGTGCCAAGCATCACTGCTTACCTTTTTGAGGGCCTGGTTTCCGCATTATATCACCTGCTGCTGTCCTTATTCTGGAACTGGCTTGCTTTTAGACAACTGAAGATTTCTAGGACAAAAGAAACAAATATGAGAAAATTCCCCATTCTGGAGCACACAGTCATCTGCAACATTAAGTAATCACACAGTGGGGAGAAAATAAATGCTCTTTCACCCTGGGTTGCACAGAACATCTACTGAACACAGACAATTCATTTCAATGCCCCGGAAACTACAAGTCTTTCTCCAATATGAGGACAACTTCAAATTTATGGCAGCGGGAGTGGCATAAATAAGTGAGAGGAGCATATGCCAGTCTCCGTGCTAACTCTACAGTGAGTCCCGAGTGTGTGCATGGAAGGGGGGACTGCTCTTGCTCACTAACAAAGGGAGATAGAGCTGAAATTTATGAAAGAAAACACATGGAAACATAACATTAACTCTGGCAAAGCAGCACCGCAATCCCCAGCTCGCCACTTGCAATTCAAATTGCTCACAGGAGTTCTGGGTAATAAGGATGAGAAATTGGACAATGACCCAGGAAATATTTTTGCTGTTAGTACTGCAACGAGTGTCCAAGTCGCGCTGCATTTTTTTCTTCCTGGTTGGAGGAAAACTGGCTGGACTGTTCCCAACAAGAAAAAAGCATTTGCCTTCTTGTTATAAGCAAATGTTACCAAAAATCAGAGCTCTTGGGAGATGTGTGCTGGACATGTAGACAGAGACCAGTGCTCCTGCACTGCCGGTCTCACAGGGCAGTGCTTATTGCATATGCCGAGCCTTGCCAAGCCCTGACAGAAAATATCTAAATGAATGGCTGAGCTGCAAACAAGCCCTTAGGAAAGCTAGTAAAAGCATGTTTTGACACTACACTAACTAATGAAAGATTAATTGTGTCAATATAACTCCATTTTGTTCACAGTGGGGCAGTCAGGCAGGAGGATGTAAGAGGAAGCTGTCTCAGGATGCAATGCTGCGTTTCTGCTTAAAGGGTTATTTACAGATCCAACTTGGCAAGAAGTTTTGATTTTGAAAACCAGCCTTTTTCCAAACCTAAAAGAAATAAAGAGTTTAATTTTTTTATAAAAGCATTACAAACTTCAGCCTTTACATGCAGTGCTTGCAACATTGAGCAATACTCTGAGAAGGAAAATACTACAGGAATATTAAATACTAAAGGAAAAAAAAAAATCTGGTTGTTTTTTAATCCAAATCAAAAGGTATATAGTAGTTTCTTATTGCCTCTCTCATAAATAGCGTGTTTGTACATACTTGTGAAAGGAGTAAAGTTTCTTTTCCTTTCAACAGCAGAAGGTAATCTACATGTGAAAGCTTATTTACAACTTTTAATGCTTCTTTTCATAATTTTCTTCAGTAATTTTTATTAAAAGCTAGCAGTCATGCTAGGAAAAGTCCCCCAGCCATAAAACCCAGGGTGAAAGGTGTTACATAAAGGCACCAGACAAGCATTGACCATCCCTGGCTCTGCACCTCTGCTGACTGCTCGGCTCCCCCAGACGTGGGACTTTCTGAAGTACCTGGACACTAATCATAAATCTCACGTGTTTGGGACAGGACAGGTGCTCCTGTGCCGCTCGGCTTTTGAAAAGCTGCTTCAGCCTGAGCACTTTGAGCCTTACCCGGCAGGGATGTGTAACCCTTCTCTGTGTAAGTATTTGGAGGAAAAATTTGTGACTGCTTATGAGATGCTCAGATACAATTTGTGAAAGGTTGCATCTCGGGAGGAGAGGTGAAACTCCTGCACCCTCTGTCCTTGTGCAGACAGCAATGGGAGTAACCTTAACTACTTGTAAAGCACACAGATGACTGCTGGTGTCCCCCAGCCAACACTGTAGTGGGCTCCCAGCAAGATCTCATGTGGTGGAAGAGAATGTGACATTGTAAATGTTGCTCCTATTAAAAAAAAAAAAAAAAAAAAAAAAAAGCACTACTCTGCCCCAAAGGAGAAGACTTAGGCTCCATGGGGTCTCCTACTCTGCTGAGACCCACATGGGTGCCAGCCTGGGGACAGCATGCTCCAAAACCTGCTTCCAAGAAACTGTCCAAATGAGATGGCCCCATGACTCCTGCCACCCTTCACTGTCCTCCACTGCAGCTTTGCACCATTCAGCTCCCCCATACATTCTCATACCACAGGACAGAAACACATGGTTTCATCCTGCAAAATCATAACTCAAAAATGGAGAAAAAAAAAAAAAGCAAAATAATTAGTGTATTTCAGGGCCTTATAATGCCCAGAGAAGAGCCAGAGCCAAACTCCACAATGCGTGGCTTCAGCCTGCTTGCCCTGGTGGCAGCTAGCCCTGTGTAGCACAGATGCCAGCCACCAGAGCCACCAGCCTCATCACATCCCAGGGACAGGGACTGGTCCCTGCCCATTCTTCTTTAGCCACAGAGACATAGCCTGCGTACCCCAGCCCTCCTGAAACTGGTATAAGGCGGGCTTTACTAACATAGGGCTTGGGAATTGGTAATTCTCACTGGCTGTAATTTCATTCTATAGTTGCACAGAGAAGCTGTAAAATCTCCATCCTTGGAGATACTCCAAGCGTCACCAGCTACCATGCTGAGCAGCCTGTTCTAACCTTGAAGTTGAGTCTGACCTCAAAGCCAGCCCAGCTCTGCGTGCAGGGCTGGACCAGACAACCTCCAAAAGTTCCTTCCAACCTGAAATACTGTATGATTTTATTTCACTGACAACTGATTGGAAGGCAAGCAGAATTGCCCTATAAGCTTTAGCAAGCCTGAAACACCCCAGTGAAGAAGACAGACTTCAGTCTAGAGAGAAGAAAGGGAACGGCAGAACAAGCAAGCTAACAGGCACTGCAGGACAGGGAGAAACGCAGTATGGATGTATGTGGTCTTTACACTGTTCAGGGATTGAAGACTTAAAAAAAAAAAAATCTTAAAGTAATAAATAGTAGAAGCTACAGTTTGATATCCAGGGAGGAAAAATGGGCTATCCACACAGCTAGATCTTCCTGAATGACCTTAGACACAAACATGCCCCTAATGAGAACTTGTCGGCTGGGTCAGTGACACAAAGGAGACAATCTTACTTTTGCATCAGATAAAGCATTGAAGATTTACATAGCCCAGCACATGCTGCAACATTCCATCTCCAGAACCTGACACTTGTACAAAGCTGCCTACCAGAGTTAAAACTCCCCTCTTTTTCAAAAGCTGTATTTCTCATGCTTGTGGATATCAAGATAATCTTGCAAGCACGGGCCACAGTTTTACATGGTGTTGGTTTCCAGAATCTATACCCTGAAAGGACAGATCAATGTGCAAATTCATTTCAGCAGGATGCTACCTTAAAATCTAAAAAGGCCAACTGATTTGCTGCCTTTTTTAGCAGATAAAGTGCCTTTCCCACAGTTTCAAACAACTTCCACTCACCAAGATATCAAAAGTGCCAACAGCTCCACTGAACTGTCATGGGCTCTAGTTCCCCATCATTCCTACAAGACAGCAAAGTCAGTACAAGTACTGCGGCATATCAAAACCTGAAAGCATAGAGACAAAATGAAAAAGTTTGCATTTAATTGCAGAAAGGCTAGGTTACCAGTTACATTATTCATGTTCATATTTAATTCATTTAAAACATCCAAATTTAAATTTAAAGACAGCTGCAACAAACATTCCCACTTGCCATAGCAAAGCAGCGCAGAACTTGACACAATTTAAGTTCAGCTTGCAATGAGTACACGGGACTGCAGCTGTTAAACACCTTTGATACGAGTAAGATCACATCAACTGAGTTGGTATAAACTAGTTCAGCTTTTGTAAAATGAAACTATCACACAAAGAAGGATTTAAAAGACTAGACCTGATTAGTAATAAAAAGGAGAGATGCCACAGGAGAGGCATATAAAATAATGAATAGCATGAAGGGAGTGAACTGTGGACTCCAAATTATCCCTTCCACAGTGCAGCAGGGCAAACCTATAATACTAAAAAACCCCAAGTATATACCAGGGAGAAGGAAATTTTGTTTATTGGAAACTGACAGACATGCAAATTCCTCATGGAGGATGTCACCAAGACAAGTAAACAAGTAGCACTAAAAAAGGACAAAGACATTCAAAAGCAAACCAGCATTTATAACTGTATCAAAGTATGAAATGCACAAGCCATTGGTACTCACACCTCAAGAAAAAGCTGACTGAAAGGTGAGGTGACCAGCCAAATCCTGCTCACCACATTACCATGTTAGCTGCTGCACTTTGCCAAAGAAAAGCCAAGCATTTCCCTTGCTGCCAGGCTGCCGGCACCGGGTTGTGACCAGAGGCAGGACACCAGCTTGAGATGCAGTTTTGTTAGCACACCAGTGACTCCCTGCATTGGTTTACACCAACATTTACACCTCAGATGTATTTTCCTTTTTCTTGTTCAAAAAATAAAGGCAGCACAGAGGCAGCCAGGGCTGGGAAGAACATCCCAGGGCATCCCCAGCTCAGACTGCCGTTCTCTCCGGCAGCCACCCTGCACAACCCTCAGCATAAACATCAGCGAAATGCATCTTAATCTAATTATGTTCTCCCCCCCACTGCTCTTACCAACAGGCTCTTCCAAAAGTTCATCCTTATCATCCCTAAGGGGAGAATGATTCAATTTACCTGTGCCAGATTGGAAAGGACCTTCAGGGTTATAGGGTAGCCTCTCTGCAATATTCTTCCACTAAACGTTGCAACAGCAATGTCAGTAAAACAAAAAGTGTGAATATGTGGGTGGAAGATATTGTCACATCTATACAGACCTCATAAGATGCATGTAATCTCTTTATCTACAAAGCCTCCGCTCCTTCAGAGTGCATAATTATGAAAAGAGTTAAAGCTGAGGTTCTTAATGTCTCTTCTAGGCACTTCTTTATTTGACTAAAGGCACCACTCGCATCTGAATTATTTCCTGGGGTTGTTTGGACTTCCTATTATATGAGGAAGATTATGGTGAACCTTGGGATGGAGGCCAAGTCAGTTCACAGCACTACCATGTTTGATTGAAAGGGTAACTGAAGTTTTGTTGACAGCGTGCCAAGCTTCAAACCTCTTTGGACAATGCAGATGCCAGCAGGCAAGATGTTTTCAGAAAGAAGAGGAAGAAAACTACCAACAGTGAAGATGAAAAATGGTTTTATTAGGTCAGATACATACCCCACAGATTAGGATCATGAAAAAAAAAGAAAACTCTGCATATTGCCAGAGGACTGTGAGAATGGCACTTCTTGGAAATCCCATGGGACAGCAACAAGAGAATCCTGATGGTTTCTCATAATGCAAAATGCCTGCAGTCATTGATTTTTTTCCCCACAAAAGCATGGGTCTTGAGCACCATGACCAGTCCAGCTAGTAAAAATCCCTTCCACATAACCTCTGCTTCAACCTTCTGAGTTTTTTCTTCACAGGTATCTTTCCATCAAACACTATCAATGTTTCCAATAATGAAGAGCGACCCCTTACAAATTCCCTCAGGGAAATGTGAGGGCAGCATTGTAAGTTCCTGCCTGTCAAGGGTGATGGTGGTGCTGCCATTCCAGCTTCCCAGCTGGAGGCTCAAGCCGTGCTGGCTCCTGTTTCAGCACCATTCTGGAAGCCCATACGTGTGTCACAGGGAGCGTCCAGTTGCATCCCAACCGGATCAGAAAAGCAGGCACAGAGACATGATGAGCAGATGCATATAACCACCTCAGCCTGCTCTTTTAACATCTTTTTTTGCCATTTTTAATTTCTATGGTGGAGAAAGAAAGGCACTTTCAGCACACTTGAGAAATTACAGGACTGCCAGCATGTGATTTGAAACACTTCTTACCTCTTTTGGTTTTCATACCAGGTTTAGCTCCTCAGATTTCTGCCTGACCTGCAGACACTTTAACTTTTGCTGGTCTAAAATCATGGTTTTCCCCCTCAAAGCAAGCTCTGATGAGGCAGCCAACTGACTCCTCTTCTGGGTAGAAGCCAATGACCAGCAGACAGCTTCCAGCACCAGCCTGAACACCAACTTTCTCAGAGCCAGCCACAACCAACAAGGAGTACTGAAACAAAATGACAAACAAATTCTTACATGGGACCTGAAGGAAACTCTCAAGAGCAAGCAGCTGCAAAGTTTGAAGAGGCAAGTCAGAATTTGTCTTGACCAACAGGTTTATTTCCTTCCACCTCCCTGTTACTGTCTTCCTGGACAAGACTGGAGTTTTACTTCTTGTTTCACGTTTTGGCAGCTCTGAACCAAGGCTAATGAAGCTACAGCTCCTCTGAAAGCATCTCCCCTCATTAGGTCTCGAGGGTCCCTACATTCATGCTAGGAATTTTTTCAAAGAAACACTGTAACAATGAATGTTCCTATTTCCATCTGGAGTACTGATCCCCTTGTGTGATCTGAAATATCTGATGGCTGCAAACCATTACTCCTCTTTCTACCAGAAGGATTTTGTGTCCTTTCCAACATCTCTCTCTCTCTGGAACTAATTTTATCTTTCTACCATGTAAGAAGTTGACTGATAAACTCCAGACTTCATGACTGACTCCTCAGAAACACATTCTTGTGAAAGATGTTAAGACACTGAGGTGTCTCAAAGATGTGATCATGAGCAACACACTTCCTTAGCCCCTGAGCCAAGTCTCAGGGGACAACATACTTTAAGAGAGACAAAAACATGTAAAAAACTTGCATAGACCATGTTTCTACAATGAAAATATCAACTTTATGACTTCCTTTTGAACACCTTCAGGTTAGAGGGGAGAGGAGATGGGTCAACCTCCTAGCAAATGACAGCTGGATCATCAGACACTGCCGAGTCGAGCTCAAGGGAAAACCAGCGGCTC